AGCCTTCGGTATGGATTACATCTCAATATTAAGAAAATATCAAGAAAAATCCTTACCACTGGACCAATAAACACCATTCTTATCAACGGAGAAAAGATTGAAATTGTCAAGGACTTCATTCTTCTTGGATCAACTATCAACACTCATGGAAGCAGCAGTCAAGAAATTAAACGACGTATTGCATTAGACAAATCTGCTGCACAAGACCTTTTTAAAGTGTTGAAGAGTAAAGATACCAGCTTGAGGACTAAGGTGCACCTGACCCAAGCCATGGTATTTTCAATAACCTCCTATGTGTTTGAAAACTGGACAATGAATAAGGAAGACCATAAAAGAATTGATACTTTTGAGTTATGGTTTTGGAGGAGAATATTGAAAGTGCCATGGGCTACCAAAAGAACCAATAGATAACGTTTTGGAAGAAATGTAGCCAGAGTGATTCTTGGAGGTCAACATGGCCAAACTTTGTCTCTCATACTTCAGACATATTGTTAGGAGCAACCAGTTGCTGGAGAATGATATCCTGTTTGGTAAATTGGAGGGTCAGAGAAAAAGAGGAAGATCCCCAGTGAGATGGATTGTCCAAGTGGCAGCATTGATGGACTCAGAGTGGCAATGGTAGTGAAGTTGCCCAGGATCAGGCAGTGTTTCGTTCTGCTGTGAATTGGTCGCTATGACTCTGTATCAACTCAATGGTACCTAACAACAACAACAATGACAACAACAACAACAATTTTTGATAGCTAATTTCTAAATTGCCTATTCCCTATCAACCGAGTTCTCTGAAGTTTCAAGTATGTTCTCTGTACTGAATAATCTTCATTCCAGTTGGAATTCTGAGCACCTGCATTAATAAGCAAATTCCCGTCTAGAGCAAATCATACATTTTTTGAAATTTATGACAGTTCAAATTTATAATAGTGTCAAATATATTTCACTTCATTCTGTTGGATTCTAGTCAACTCAGCCCTAATAATCCAAGTTAGGTCAAACGAATACCAGGTATAAACTTGGAAGTTCACAAGTACCTGACTACACTTGAGAACAATTGGCCCCTCACTCTCTTAGCCCTAGCTAACAGGGCTTGGGTTAGAGTCTAAAGACTCTAGAGTCCACCTGACTTTCTAAAATTTAAACCTTCAAACCCTTTCTCTATCTCACATCCCTAATTTACAGTTGTGGACTAGGCCAGCGGGCATCAATAGAACATTTCTAAACTCAACCTGCCTCTTCAATTCATTGTTACATTTTGCCCATTTATACTCAAAAGCGGGCCTGCAACAAGCATACCAAGTTATCTGCTTGCTGGTTCTTTTTAACTCTCAATCCTAAAAGGGAGTTTTTGTTATGGTGGTCTTTTTTCTGTCTCAAAACATTTACAGACAAACCACTAACTAGAAATTGCAAAAGTCAAATATTCTTCTTTTTTTATGGAAAATCCAAAGGTCAAATGTTCTTCTTTTTCTTTTTTTTTTTTTTTTTCATTTCTTCCTGCAGGTCTTTCCTTCAAATGTAAATTGCATATTCTCTCAGCAGTTCTGGGTGGGTCTGAATGTGTTTTCACATGTACATTTCCTGACTGAAGATTCTGGATGGGTTCAGGTTTTATATCTAAGGCTCCAACTCTCAAGCTACTAGCTTAACACAAAAATTCATTACTTTCAGACAAATTATAACTCCACTTTTAGCATATCCAATCAAATATACACTGAAAGCAGACTTAACAATGCTGCATAATCATGATACTCAATATTAATTTTATCACACATTCATGCCTAATTTACAAAACCAGGTAGGAGAAATCATTGTCTGTAATATAGTCAGATAAACACATAAGCTTAAGTCACCTTTTTATACATCCAATTTCAATCTTTTCCAACCCTGGAACCTCTCCCTTTCATATGTAGATGACCTTGGGACACTAGAATAACTGATTCAGTAGGTTCTGGCCTTCTGTCAACTATCTTTTTAAATTAGCCTGACTTTTGTCAAAAATCACTCTAGGAGAAACATGTCTCCCATTGGCTGTAGGATACTAACTCTTACTACCCTTTCAGCTATTACAGGTAACAGCAATGAAAGCAATGATTTAAAAATAAAACATTTCACTTCTTATGTCCCTTTTTTTTTTTTCTTTTATAAAGTACATGCTTCAAAGCTTGGAGCAATTGCAACCTATCCTATTTTGAAACCCACTGTAAAAATGGCATTGAGGTAACATCTGACCTCATTTGATTACACAAGGGGGAAGGAGAATCTAACTCTACATCACCCAAGGTCAATTCCTATGAGATGAAAGTCAGGCATGTCTCCACCCTCTAACCTTCTTTATAAATACTGATATCACCCTTCCCACACTACTTCTTTACTTGGTCCTTTGATTCATTGCAAGGAGCTCTGGTAGTGTAGTGGTTATGAATCGGGCTGCTAAACTCAAGGTCAGCAATTTGAAACTACCAGCCGTTCTGCAGAAGAAAGATGAGGCTTTCTGCTCCCATAAAGATTTACAGCCTTGGAAACCCTGTGCAGGGTCACTATGAGTCGGAACCACCTCCACGGTACTTAACGACAACAACAACATGATTCATTGCAATGGTCACATGTTGCATGAAGAAATGCAAATAGAAAGTGATTATTGATGCATTTATGAAAAGATGATTCTAGAAATCACAAAAATGTGATTCTAGAAAGAAGAGATCAAGAAACACAGATCAAGATAAAAGAAGAATTAAGCAGAAATGGGTAAAGGTCAAATGACAGGTGCTGAATCAGTCTTATTTCATTTTTATATTACCTCCTGTGGGAAGTGTTCTTTGAGCAGTGTATTTTAGTTTCCCTCAGATGATTTCATGTTCCTCTTTTTTTTTTTTTTTTTCCCCAGCTAAACCTGTCTTTCTTATTCTGAGTACTTTTAATGGTTTCATTGCTTTAACAATTCCTTGAAAACTTTGACTCCTCCCTATATATAAAATAATTGACTTTTTAAAATATTGAATTCAATTTTACAATGTCTCAAAGTCTATTGTTGTCCAACCATGTCTGCTTAAAATATGCATAGCATCCTTGTCTTACGTAGGCCTATGGCAATCATTTGTTTTGCAATGTCTAAGACAGTGTCCTGTACAATGTGTGATTATGAATTCTAGAATGAAGGAAGAAGGCAAAAATCATTAACTGCCATTGAGCTATTAGCAGATTTCTCATTAACCAAATATACATATATTTGATGGTTTCTTAAACTTATAATGGTTTTAATAAAAATACATAAAATTCCACCTTCCTGAAGGAGGTTAGTTGATAGCTCAAGTGGTTTGTGATTGACTACCAGAATGAAAAATTAGCTATTCAAATATTTAGAGACTTGGAAGAACAATGGCCAGGCTTTATGCTTCCTTAAGCTTGCAACCAAGAAAACCCAATGGAGTAGTTCTACTCTGTAAGTCATAGGGCACCATGAGTAAGCAGATGACTGTACGGGAACTCAAAACAATAACAACCTGTCCCAAACTTTTTCTGTCCTCTTAGGTTTCTCATTTTATTTTCACTTCTGAAAACATTTTCTCCCAGGTTCCCCACTCTCCAATTATTACTGTCTTAACTACTTTACTTTTCTTTCCATTTATATGACCAGGTTTCAAAAAATGATTGTCTCTAGCTGTATAGTGAACTATAAACTCTTTTAGAGTAAACCCATGTATCACACCACGGTACTCTCTCAAGCACACAGTAGAGAATTGAAAAGGAATCTATTTTGAGATTATAGGGAAGTATAACTAAATACCATGAGAAATTATTAATATGAGTGTTTATAAATATGTGTTATGAGTAATGTGATCAAATGATTTGCTATTTGAAATTAAAATGTGATTAGTATTTTTGAAAAGCCAATATTGATAAGCAAATATTGCCTCAGGAAACTAACATGTTTTACTTTTTCCTTAAGATTACTTTGTTTTAAATATTTTTTTCTGTGAAATGTTCCCACATATTCATGAATCTAGAATATTATGAATCCATGTTGTTGTTAAGTGTCATTGAGTTGGTTCTGACCCACAGCATCCCTGTATAGGGTTTCTAAGAAGTGACTGATAAGCTTGAACCACCGACCTTACAATTGAAACTGACTTTGCAGTCCAACGCAGTAAGCCACAGTGTCATACTGGGACTCCATAGGTACCCATTTTCTGGGTTCTGTAATTACCATTTCACCACCAATTGCTTTATTTGTTCAAGCCCAGTCTCACTCTACTTTACTAATATTGATAAGTAATTAAATACAGTAAATGGCTTACATCTTGAGACTAACACCAATACCTTTTATAGCAGAGTTTTTTCTCTCACACTGCTTTTCTTATAACTATCTCTGTATTTGCCCTGATTATGTTTACTTTCAGTGTTACTGCTGTGACAATTAACTTCTGCAAGGAAAAAGACTTTTAAAGGTCAGTGTTGCAACAGACAGCTTAGAGAGACAAACCAAACCAGAAGAGACTCCTGCCCTGCTTTCTTCTACTCTCATCCATGGCTCCTTAACAGTGGTGCCATAATGGCTGGGGGTGAGGCCTGGATACATATGAGAATCAATCTCCAACTCCTCAGGCTTGCTGTTTTTGTCCTTTCTGAAGTATTCGAGGTTGTATACTCCCTACATCAGAGCCCCCCAGAAGTGGTGATTCCCTTAAGGTTAACTGAAACTTCCAGACATATGAAGGCTTTGGGATGGTTTTCCTACAACCTGAATTTTGGGGAGCAGAGACACATCATACACATAAAGGCCAAGAAGTTGTTGGTGTCCAGGCAACTGTCTGTGTTCACTTACACAGACCAGGGTGCTCTTCTTGAAGATCATCCTTTTGTTCAAAGTGATTGCTACTATCATGGCTATGTGGAAGGGGAACCAGAATCTCTGGTTACTCTAAGTACTTGTTTGGGGGGCTTTCAAGGAATGCTACAAATAAAGGATATTTTTTATGAAATCAAACCCAAAGGAGCTGCTAACACATTTGAATACCTACTATATAAGGTGGACAGTGAGGAGGTGCAATCAGAAAACTGGAGATGTGGATTAACAGAAATGGAAATTGCAAGACAATTGAAGTATCTAAAGAGTGAAAATTCCACTCTGGAGCAAAGCACCAATAATGCCTGGTGGACCTATAAGTGGCTTATTGAGCTGGCAGTGGTAGCTGACTATAAACTTTCCCTTCATTGCAACAGTAATATCTCAAAAGTATTGGAGATGGTTTTCAATATTATCCATAGAGTTGATGCAATTTATAGTCAACTAGGGGTTGAAATCTCCTTATTAGCACTTGAAATATGGAATGAAAAAAAAACATTTCCACTTGTTAACTCACCTAAGATGTTGGGTGATTTTTGCAAATGGAAGAAAATTAGTTTTAATACTCGGGTGCACCATGATATTGCAAATCTTTTTACAAAGAGGGGAGTTGGCCATGCTGTAGGTTATTCTTTCATTGATGGAGCATGCAGATTATCGTATAATTGTGCAGTTTCCAGTTTCATAAATGACAATTTGAACTTTTTTGCATCTGTTGTGTCTCATGATATTGGACATTCTTTGGGTTTAATGAGAGATGGTACACTGTGTACATGTGGGAGGAAAAATTGTATAATGTCTGAAACAGGAATAACTACAACTAAATTCAGCAATTGCAGTTATGCTGATATACACAGAGTGATTACACAAAAGACATGTTTGCTCAACATACGAAATCCAGTGGACATTATCTTCAAGCACTGTGGTAATGGAATTGTTGAAGAAGGGGAAGAGTGTGACTGTGGATCCTCATATAATTGTGCAAAAGATTCCTGTTGTCACTCAAATTGTACTTTGAAGCTTGGGGCTTCTTGTGCTTTTGGACTTTGTTGCAAAAATTGCAAGATCATGCCAGCAGGACAAGTTTGTAGGCTACAGGTCAATGACTGTGATCTTCCAGAGTGGTGCAATGGAACCTCCAATCAGTGTCCAGAAGATGTATACGTGCAAGATGGTATGCCATGCACAGGAGGGGGCTACTGCTATGAAAAGAAATGTAATAACCATGATGAACAGTGTAGACAGATTTTTGGAAAAAATGCAAAAAGTGCAAATAAGAGATGCTACAAAGAAATGAACACTCGAGGTGATCGCTTTGGTCACTGTGGTAAGAATGTCTCTACATACATAAAATGTAATATCTCAGATATCCTGTGTGGAAGAGTTCATTGTGAGAATGTGAGAGTAATTCCTCTTCTGAGAGAGCATTCTGCTGTACAGGTAACTTACATCAATGGTGTTACCTGTTGGAGTACAGATTATCATTCTGACATGACCATACCTGATATTGGTGAAGTGAAAGATGGTACAGAGTGTGGACCAAATCATATCTGCATCCGCAGGAAGTGTGTTAGTAAGTCTGTTCTAAAAGGTTACTGTTCACCTAATACTTGCAGAAAGAGGGGAGTCTGCAACAATAAAGGTCATTGCCATTGCAATTATGATTGGACCCCACCATACTGCCTGATAAAAGGCAAAGGAGGTAGTGTTGACAGTGGCCCATGCATTAATAGACAAGAGCAAAGGAACAAAGCAAATTCTCTGTCACTATTTTTGTTTCTTCCTTTGTTTGTTTTCTTTTCATGCTTGTTAATTTTTCTTTATAAGAGGTACAAAACCAAAAAAGTCAGTCTAAGAAAATGATCCAATATTTCAATTCCAGAAACTAAAGAAGAGCCAACATTTATAAGTCCAGAAAATAAACCCAGTCCCCAATTAAGCGTCCTATGTATTACATCTTAGTATCCTGTCATTAGAAATGTTAATGCATGTGTTAGAGAACATGGACAGAAATTGCAGGGATTAAATACTTTAAAATAAATTTTTCATGGAATTAGTCACTTTGTGTTTTCTGAGCAAAGCCACGGTGCATTAATATTTGTTTTATGCTGCTGTCTCTCAGTTCACACCTTTTACCACTTTTGATTGCATTGTCATACCAGAAATGTGAAGTTGCGATTTTGCAAGTTCTTTCCCTATTAATTTATGCCAATGGTACACAAGAGACAGACTGTAAAGCTAGGGGTATGGTTTGATTCTTATTTGTCATTGCTATATTTGTAACAATGTTGGCAGCAGTGTCTTTCAGTTTGAAAATAATTACAGTAATTCTATTTAGTAACTTCCTGAAACATTAGCCTTATCAGTCTCATAGATACAAGTACAGTTGGCCAGTGACTAAATATCAATATTCTGAGTACAGGCTCTTGAACCCTCCACAAAATCCCTAAGGTTCCAGCACTAATTTGACTGTTACCTCAACAAAGAATAAGAAAAGTAAGATAATCCTACATCCTGCTTCTAAGATTAATAACTCTAGCCTCTTCCCTTTCATCTCCCAGTTTAGGAGAGATCATTTCCTGTTGTTATTAAATCATGGTTATCTTAGTATTCCTGTTTATTTGTTATGCTTCCCCCAATTCTTAATTCCTATTCCCTATCTAAATTCACCGGGGTCATTCTTTTTTCATGACTAAATTCTGATACAATACTTACTAAGTATAATGGAGAGCAACCAAATCAGACATCAGAATGTTTTGAACTTTTCTTGCTACTCTACTTTACCTCCTTAGTGAAACGATTTAAACTTTAAATTTCTTCAAAAGATATATTTCATTTAAAATATGTTTTATATGTTTTAATAACACTTGTTATTAAAAACTTGAACCCTTTCATTATAAAATAGTATAAGATAATATATAAGTAGGGTGCTATATATGTGAGTAAACCAATGCTTAAAAAAAAAAAATACAGCAGAAACTTAGAGATTACAAATTACATTTTAAAACCATCAGGGAGCTTTTAAGCAATGAAAGTAATGGAGGAATTAATGACATTCTAGTAGTGTAAAGCCATTTTGAAAGAGATTGTGCATTACCAGCCATTTTTGCTCTTAAAAGCTCTTATTAATTCTGAATGTGAATTGAGGATTGTTGTTAAGTGCCATCTAGTTGGTTCAGACTCAGAGCGACTCTGTATAAGGTTTCCAAGAAGCAGCTAGTGCATCTGAACCTTTTGGTTAGCAGTCCAATGGTTATCCGAAAGCGCCACTACACCAGGATTGAGGATTAGCTGTGGCCAACTTTCACATGTATATGAAATGATTGAAAATACCATGGCTTGGGTTGTGCACCCACATATTATTCTTCTTTATAGTTTAAAGATACCTTTTTTAAAAAAAAAAATATTGAGAATTGAGTGATAGTTTACATGGGGGAACGTGAGTTTTACACTCATCCTATCATACTCATTCCATTGCAAAACTTGCAATTGTATTTGTTTCATTGCAATAATTATAGTCCCCTGTAAGCTTCTTCATTAAACAATATTTGCTTCTATTCCCTCTGGGTTTTTTGAGGGGGTGCTGTGCACCAAAACACTCATTCAAACAGCCAATGAGCACATCCTGCAAGCCTGTTCCCGGGCCACCAGCACACATCCCCTCTCCTTGAGTCTAGAATCAGATGTCATCATCTCTGCCTCCATCTCTGGCCTTGCCACTTCTCTGTGTAGGGTCCCACACTCCACTCTCGCTCTTCTCCCTTAATGGTCCCAGGATCCTCCTCTCCAGGACTGTAAGAGCCACCATTCACCCCTTATAGTTACAAAACTTCTACCATTACAGTTGTGACAATTGCAATTAGTCATGATAACAATTACCCACTATTGAATTATGAGAATTTTGTCCCCATCTGCTTAAAGAGACTTTTTGCAATAGATTCACATAATGCAACATGTCATTTGACTTGTTGACTGCTGCTTCAATGAGTGTTGATTGTGGATCCAATACAAATAAAATCTTTTCAATCTTTTCTCTATTAACCATGATGGATCCAGTAATGAGGATTTTTGTCCTCTTTACATTGAGATGCAATCCATACTGAAGGTTGTAGTCTTTGATCTTTATCAGTAAGTATTTCAGGCCCTTGTTGCTTCCAGCAAAGGAAGTTTGTATCATCTGCATATTATAAGTTGTTAATAAGTCTTTCTCCAATTCTGATGCCACATTTTTTTTTTTCATACAATCCAACTTCTTATATTATCTACTGAACATACAGATAGAATAAGTATGGTGAAATGATACAACCTTAGTCAGTAATTTTTCTAATTTTAAACCATTCAGTATCCCCTTGTTCTATCTGATAACTGCCTCTTAGACTGTGCATGGATTCCTCAAGAGCACAATTAAGTGTTCTGGAATACCCATTCTTTGCAATGTTTTCCTTAGTATGTCATGCTCCACACTGTAGAAAGCCTTCGCATATAAATATCTTTATTGTATTCTATGGTTTCAGTCAAGACCCATCCTATATTACTAATGATATCCCTAGTTCCATGCCCTCTTTGGAATCTTACCTGAATTTTTGGCAGTTCCATGTTAATGTACTGTTGCAATCATTTGTTAATTATCTTCAGCAAAATTTTGCTTACATGTAATTTTTTTTTTTTAATGTTATGAATTGAGTAAAAGTTTACAGGGCAGATTATCAGTTTTACATTCAATAAATCATACACCTTGTTTCATTACAATAATTATAATCTCCATGTACCACCTGTTAAAAGTATTTTTCTCTACTCATTTTAGCTTTTTTTTTTTTAAAAACACTCAGGCATATATAATACTTTACACCACAAACAGGCACATTCTGCAGGTCTGCCTCCAGGATGCCAGTTTCTCTCTTCCCATGAATCTAGAGTCGTCAGCTGCTCCCTCTCTCCATGTCCCCATCTCTGCCTCCATCTCTAGTGTTGCTGCTTCTCTAAATAAGGTCCCACATTCTGCTTGTGCTCTTCTCCCTTGATGGTCCTAAGGTGCTCTGTTTCTGGACTGTTAAGATTAACTACTGTCTCATTTTTGTTACAAAACTTCTATCTTTACAATTGCAGCAGTCGCAATTAGTCATGATAACAATTACTCACTACTGAATCATAAGAACCATATCCCCAGGTATTTTTATCAGACCCATCTAGACAAAATGAAAACTATCCAATGGTGACACTATCTTCCCACCCACACTCTTAAACTGAACTACCTCTTGAAAAATTGTAAGCCAGTCACTTCATGCCTTTATCACTTGTTCATTTTAAGTAGCCAATGTCTAAGTTGCCCATTCCATCTGCCCTGTGTAAAGAGGGGATAGCACTATTTACCTCTGTCCCATTTAGCCCATGCAAATCTGTCTCAGTGTTCCTCTATCTACCTTTTTCTTCCACCTCACTTACATGTAATCTTGATAATATTGTTCAGTGATTCCTGCATTCTTTTGGTTCAACTCTTTTTATAATGGGAACAAATATAGACCTCTTCCAATAAATTGGAATATCTCAAAAATTTAAAAAATTCCAAATTAAAACCTGGAACAAAATTCCTCTTCATCTGTAATTCTAAAATACAAGTTATCCAATTCCAAATATAATGGTGTAACAGTCTTCAACAGCACTTAACAACAATAGTCAAATGTAAACAATTTCATTTCAAACAAGACAATTGGAGGGAAAGAAGAGATAACAGGTACAAATCAGGTTAAAAATCCAGCAAAACAATTTATATTAGTTCTCAAAGCTTTAAAATAATCCTTTGTTATCTAAGACCACCTAGACAATAGCCCTGTCATCCAGACTCAGTGTGTTGATCATGCACTCTGGAATTTGAGTAGAGACTGTTCAATCCTGGACTTCACTTCTGCCTTCCACTGAAAAGGCAACTGTGCTTCCTCAGCTTTCATCAGCTCCATTCTTCTAGTCTCTCTGAGTGAAGACCCTTCCCTTCAGCCTTGGCAGGCCCCATTCTTCTATCCCCTTGGGTATGGCAGCACTTTCACCTCGGCTTTGGACACAGGTCCCATCTTATCATAGTTCCACACTCCAGAACCAAATTGGTGAAGAAGATCCAGCTATTTGACACTTGGGAAACTGTGGTCTCATGCTTAGAAATCCAGGAGATCATGGACTTATCTTTTGAGACCAAGTCACCTCTGCTTCCATGTTTCTTGTCTTTTTAGTTTCTGCTTTGGTTTGTAGAAGAGGAATATTTGTCCTTTGCTATGCTTAAGCAAAGCAATTTAGCTCTACTTATAAGTGCCCAGAGGCATCCTACTTCATCAATAACTTGTTGGGAACGATTTGAGCTGAAGGTTTCAGAATTGGGGGCAGTTTAACTGAAGATGGAGATGTTGGGAGCAACTAAACCAAATGCCTCAGACTTGGTGGCAGTTTAACTGAAGGATTGCAACTAAACAGTTGTGGTCCAGAAAAGGTCAGGCTGCCCCCTGAGGAACTTGCAAAGCCTGCCTCATGTAACAAGGAATTTGCAAAGTCTTTCCTTATACACAGCCATTGCCTTCAGTTTAGTCTTCAAAAACATCTAACTGCTTTATCTCTGTTTCCCTAGCAACTACATTCTTCTGGTAAAGTCCTACTTACTGTTTGCATCAATACACTGGATGTTTTTTGCATTCTTTTCCCTGCCCCCAGCACTCTCCTTTGATTTGTGTATATATTAAGTGTGCTGAACCTAGTTTGGTGTCACAGTATCTCCATCAGAGTGTTGTGTCCCACCTGGTCTCAACTTTGTTATTTTCATTTTGTGTCTTGTGTCTTCCTTTTTCCCTAATCTCCCATTACCCCTACTCAGGTTTAATATCTCTGTGTGGGTCATGGAGGATAGCCACTTGTCAGACATGAAAGATGGTGCCCAAACTTGGGGATCAAGATGCATGCAGTCAGATAAGGTATAGTGTGGATGGAGTTTCAAACCGGGTGTAAAACATGGGAAATTTTGTGTCAAAGGACCACCAGCTGTTTGTAGATATGCTTAAAGCTCTATTGAGGGCCAGAGGAACTCCTATTAAAGGTGTTCAGCTTGCTCACTTTTTAGATTTTGTACAGGAGACCTGTTCCTTGTTCCCAGAGGAAAGGATAAATATGGATACCTGGGAGAAGGTCCGGAAGCAGATGCATTCTCAGTATACACATGAAGGGCCTGATAAGATACCCCTTTATGCATTTTGTACATGAAAGTTTAGACTCCCAGTGTGAGCTCGCAAAGTATTTGTGGTGGACAGTGCAGACTCTCGAGGGGCTGTGTTCACCCAAGCCATTGGCACCATAGAAGGAGGAGCTGGGAGAACAGAGAGCCTCCACTTGTCCCCAGGAGTGTTCCTTAAAGGAACAGAGGGATCCAGTTTCAGAAGGTTCTGATTCAGATTGGGAGAAAGAATCAGAGATATGTGTACCTCAATTAGTTGTGTTTTCTACCACTGAGGCAACTGCTGTCAGCACAAAACCAAAAATGCTTACAGATTTAATGCCAAAAGCAAGGGAACAGATTTCTTGTGCTCTGCCTGCTTTGTCTCCAGTTCAGAAGGCTTTGAGAGAAGCAAATATAGCAGGAGAGGGAAGTTATCAGCCTCTGTGATTATAACTTCCAACAGGCATCTGCAGAGGATTTATGGAAGTTGGTTGCCATGCTCAGAGTAATTAATTAAGCTAGTAAAAACCTATAAGATCTTGGGAGAGTGGCACAAGCTGCCCATTACATTTATGTCTGTGTTCAGACCCCTATGTACTGGTAACAGGATCAGTAAATATTTCATATGCTGGGGGACATTATATTGTAAATTGTGTTTCATGTAACCTCCCCTCTTGTCTTTCTTTTTTTTTAACCAGAAAATGGATGTGTTGATATTATATTGAGCATATAGATCACAACTTGGAAATAAAATTAAATGCACTAGAAGCCACCATAATTAACCTAGGAAATCAGGTCAAGGCCCTTAAATCAGACAAGATATTCAATGCCATGCCTCATTTTCACATATCTGTGTAATGACATTGTCATATAATACTTCTAATTGAGAGTAGAATAAAGTTTCAAAACACCTTCAAGGTATTTGGCATCATGCAAATGTAAGTTGGAATTTAAGAGATCTTCATAAACAGATTATGGCTGTACAAAACAGTAGAAATAGGGTCCTGGTCCCTGAGGACATGGCCAAGACTGTGTTGGATCTTCTCAATGGATTTAATCCTTTTACCATACTGCACCATACAGTGTGGCTCCTTATTGGTATTATTGTCTTGATGTTAATTTTGTTGCTTATTTTTATAGTCTTCTGCTGAGTCCTCCAACACCAGCTCTTGGAGCTCCAACTGACAATTCATTGCCTTCATTTAAAAAACAATAAGGGGGGAGATATTGGGAACAACTAAACCAAAGGTCTCAGACTTGGGAGCAGTTTAACTGAAGGATTGCAACTAAACAGTTGTGGTCCAGAAAATCAGGATACTCTGAGGTCAGGCTACCTCCTGAGGAACTTGCAAAGCCTGCATCAGGGAACAAGAAATTTACAAAGACTTTCCTTGTATGTAGCCATGGCCTTCAGTTTAGTCTGCAAAAACATCTAGCTGCCCTATCTCTGTCTCCTTAGCAAACACAAGTTACATTCTTCTGATAAAGTCCGGCTTACTGCATGCAAACATCACCCGATGTTTTTGTACTCTTTTCCCTGCCTCCAGTACCTCCTTTTGATATGTGTATATAATAAACATGCTGAATTTAGTCTGAGTCACAGTAGCTCCATAAGAGTGCTGTGTCCCACCTGGTCCCAAATTTACTATTTTCATTTTGTGTCTTGTGTCTTCCTTTTTTCCTAATTTCCTGTCACCCCTACTCAGGTTTAATCTCTCCAAGTGGGTCGTGGAGTATAGTCAATTGTTGGATGTGAAAAAGCCTTGGCCATAAGGCACTCAACTCTCTTCCTCCATGGGTCAGAGAGCCTAATTTTACCAACAAATGCCCAGAGGCATCCCACTCTGCGAGGATGTCTTCTCATGAAAATGCTCAGCTTGCCTTCCATTGGCTTTCTAGACTTCTTGCACCAGTTTCCTGCTCTGCTACTACAGTTTTTATACCACTGCTTCTCACCATCTGTGCCATCCCCACTGTTACAGCTTTCCTCATTTCTGTCTTGGTCCTCATCATAATTGCCTTTGATATCTTTAATTCTACCAACAATCACTTCTAGGCAAATTAAGCTTTTACTATTAGGGAGTTAGTGTTCTACCAAGTTCTGCTCATTATTCAATTCTAAAGCAGGTACCACATTTTACATATCTGTTAGAGCAGCACCCCACTCTTCTGGTACCAAATTGTGTCTTAGTTATCTAGTACTATTGTACAAAAGCACAAGTGATGACTTCAATAAATAGAAATCTATTCACTTACAATTTGGGAGGCTACAAGTCAGAATTCAGTATGCCAGCTGTGGAGAAAAATCCTTATGACATTTCAGCATTTGTAGGCCCAATATTCCTTAGGGATCTCAATGTGCTTTAGCATTCATCTTACCCTGGATGTAGTACCTCCACAGTACAGGGATCCCAGGACCAAAGGATGAACTCCACTCCTGGGTCTTCTTTCTTGGTGATATAGTAGGTCCCTTCCTCTGCTCAAGTCTGATTATTTTTATATCTCAAAAGAGATTGACTAAAGATGACAGATAGGGTAGAGGTGCAGTGAAGTTCATCCTCAGCAATGCCACCAAATAACAGGCAAAGTGTGTTCAGGGCAGAGCTTCAAAACTCTGAACCACAAAGGTAGGAATATTTAAAAAGTTTGAAGGCTTATAGCTAGTGGAACTTGTAGTGGAAGAAAGAAATCATGTACTTTTGAATCTGCAGGCTCAAATGCGAAGACCTGACAACTTGGGTGAGACCAAACAGCAAGATCAAGCAGGGCAACAGACCCACCATGGAATAGCACCACGGGAAACTTGGAGCAAAGGTGGACAACGCACTTTGTCGGTTTTGCTTTGCTCGGATTTGTTTTTTTTATCTGTGAATTGGCCACCCACTGTTTTTGCACCTCCATTCTGGTGACTAGAGTAGGCACCTGAGTGAGTCCACACCCCCCACCCACACCACTGGTGGATTCTCTGCCATGTTTACACACAGATACTCTCAGCCCAACAGGCAGCCCTAAACTGTTTTTGTTTTGTTTTGTTTTGACATGGAAAAGGCCAGAACAAGGGTTGTGGAGGGGGAAAGAGTTTAAAAACAAAACAGGCCAAAAAATAAATTAAATCCTGAGGTATAGCATAAAAACCAATAGTGGCATCTTGAAATTTATCAGATGGCCTTGAAAGTAGAAGCTGAAAGATGACATTAAATTTATACTCAGATTTTTTTTTTTTTTCTCTTCGCTGCCTCCTCTTCCCTTTCTGGCACTATAGTATCCAACCTAGTTTTGTTGTTGTTGTTGTTGTTGTTTTGGTGTTTGTTTGTTTCTTGTTTTTTGCTGTTGCT